GCCCCGTCTTGCCCCCCCCCTGGAGACGCCCATGCTTGAAATGCAAGGAAAATTTAATATAAGCAATAAATCTTACTAGATTTTAAAGTTGGAGGACTTTCAAATTGTTTCATTTCAAATGTTTTTTTGGTGACTTTTTTAATAATATGATCGTCGTTTGCAGATAAATCTGAAAAAATAAGAGCCTTATTTGCTTTATTACGGGCTTCTTCTAGGCTTCCTAAAACAATATTTATTATAAAACTATAATGATATGATTTATAAATTTATGTTATAAAACAATATTTAAATGTCTGAATTTATGTATGTATTGGTATGTTATCTACCTATTAAAAAGTATTTAAATCTTACCATATTTTCGTCCTAATATTCTCGCTGGTAACCAATTATACTCCAACTTATTTGGATATGCTTTTTTTTTCAATTAATCTTTTTGCACAATTCTTCGCTTTAGGCCATGCACACGTTTTTGTTTTTCTATTATACCATGCAGGACCGGATTTGACGGGGGGCATTAAGGGCATATGCCCCGGGCCCCCAAATTTTAGGGGCCTCCGAGACTCGAATCAGAAATATAAAAAAATTGCAATTTGGGTTCTCAAACTATATTAAAAAAAAAAAATATATAGTTTTGAAAATAAAAATTAATTAGGTATAAAATAAAAATTAAAATTTACTACAGTATACTACAGTCGTTATTATTGCATTATCACGGTGACGTAAAGTTGCGGGTTATATAATTACATGTGTATGTTTATACGAATATATATAAAAATCTTGTATGACTTGTTCAATTTCTTTAACATAAATAGTTATTTTTAGTTGTAACTATAAATATATTTTACGCATGGCATAAGTTTAGGTAGGTATGCAATTTTTGTTATGGACCATTTAGGGCCCCAAAATATTTTTGCCCTGGGCCCCCTAATTTTTAAATCCGGCCTTGATACCATGTCTCAGGCACAGATTTGATAGAATCTTCTTACAAAAAATTAATTACAATAAACATTTTTAACTAAGCTGTACCTAATGAAGTAAAGTTTAAACAATATAATGTAAAATAAATATATTTATTGAGATGTAACCAAATTAATATTATGTAGTTTCATAAAAATAAATTTTTAATAGAATAAAAAACAACTTATAACAGTGAATTAATACTAATATCTTAAAAATCTAAATTGTATTGGCCTTTAATACCATAATATTATAGAAATATTCCATATAGATAACTATGTAAAATATTAGAAACTTATTATTATAACTATAAGCTACCTATTTTGTGTTATATCGAAAAATGAAACATGCAATTTATAAGTAATGCAATTCGTTTAAATTATGAAATATTGATTTAAAAACTATAAGTAAAAAAAAAAAATTATCATTTATAAGAATAAGATAAAGTTTAAGTATGAACTATTGGCATAACAATTGAATTTCCATTGTGAACCAAGAATAACATTTTTTTTATGGATTTCACAATCTTCAAAGCATTTTAAATTTTCATCCAAATTTTGCACAATGAAAATATTAAATATTTTTGAATCTACAGGTTTTTCAAAAAGTGCTTTTTTTTTTCAAATGATTTTCCAACAATCATGATTTTGTTATTTGATGTCTTAATAATATTCAAACATTTAATAATTTCTCCAGATTTAGTCAAATATAACTTTCACAATCAACTTTAGTATTTAATTTGAATGTATTTTTTATTAATTTATAATACTGCAATCCATTAATATTTTTTACCAAAGGACCATTTTTACGACGTTTTAATAATGATGTTTGTTGATTTGCTGAGAGCTCTGATGAATTTGAATTGATGTTCTTATTATTATATATTTCATTATATCTATTAATTAATTGTTCAAGTGGCTTATCATGTTTCCTAATTTTAGAGTTGAGTGTTTTATTATAATTCTCAAATGGAAAGGCACTACAACTATCGAGTGGTCCATGATTTCTATAGTCATCAACTATATGTAAAAGACCATGAATGTTGTAAGAAACATGCTGACGACCATACATTTCTTCAAATGTTCTCACAAAGTAGTCCAATAATGATTCAGCATAATCTATATAACACATATAGTCTGGAATCAGTAGTATTAACATTGATATATATAAACTCAAAAAGTTGGTATATATATTCTTATTTAAAATGTCTTTAAGTACAACAACGCCAATATATAATAAAAATAGACGTAATTCCGTTGCTTTCCACCTACAGATGTCTTGAATATGTCTAGTCTTTCTTACAAATTCTGATTGAATAAATGGTTTCAGATCTAGAAGTAATTTACTTAACACATGAATACTTTTACTTGGAAGTCGAGTTTGCATTGGTCCTTTATGCATCCAAAGAGTAATAAGTTTCCGTGTAACTCCAAGACACACCAAATCCATATAGTCCAGAGGAAATGCACTAACTACATCTAAACCTTCTAACTCTACAAGCTTTGAAATCGTCTCAATATGTGAATCTTCATATGTCATATTTACATAGTCTTTATGTGTTTTTTTAACTGACTTGTTTTTAGAGTATGGAAAACAAACTTGTCTTTCATAATATTCACCTCTAGAATACATCTACTACATGAATAAAATCCTAAATGACCTTTGATATTTAAAATAAATGATTTTGCTGGTGCATCACAAGTGAATAATTTGATTCTAACCTGTATTATACTTCCATTCAAAACAATACCTTCAGTTATTAGTTCTTTTGCTTCTAATATGAAGTCAGATAAAAATTCATTTGTACATTTTGGTTTTGTATACCCATGGTAGATTCCAACCGGAAACACAGTTTTTTCTGCACCTATAATATAGGCCAATAAAGGCCAAAATTGGCTGTTACTGCTTTTGGTTAAAGGCAACCCATCAACTCCTATAGCAAGATTTATTTCAGTCAATTTAGTTGATGTAAATGTTTTGATACCATTTTTCAACCCAAAATGGTAATAGCGACCTGGAATAACCTTTCGGATATTTCCTATTGTTAATTTATGCCCTGCCAAAAGAGTTCGACAATCTTGAGGTAATTTTTCTGTTTTTATTAGTTCATAACATTTCATTAATTTTAATAATTTATCAACAGTAATTTGTGGAACATTACATTCAATAGCCCA